ACACACACACACACACACACACACACACACACACACACACACACACACAGCATTACATGTACACACGCAAAGAAGCCCTGTAGGTTTATACCAAGTTCCATCAATATTAGTAACTGTTAAGGTGTGGGTATATATTTATTAATGTATGGCCTTAGTTTGCTCACTTAATCCCTGTGCTTAAGTGCCCTGACTTTTAACATGAAGATACTGACTCCTACCTGACAAGTTTTTATAAGTTGATTTGCATGACAATATCACACTCTAAGCAATAAAGATAAAGTAAAATGACATAGTCACATGAGATTATTTTTGTGTACTATGCAAGTACATTCAGTGCAAAATAATCTAGTATCTTATGTTTTGTGAGCAGTGCAAAGCATGGTATATGTGCAGGTTTCAAAGGATTTTGAGGTGGGCAAATATGAGGAACTTCTGGAAAGAAGCCTTTTGAGCTCCCTGTTTGCTAGACCCAGAAGTGACCTACCTTTGCTGTGATGGTAACAGGGGTCATCATGTTTTTTTTTTTTTTTTTTTACAACCCATTATAGAAATGCTATTAGGAGACAATGTTTAGAGATAGTATAAATTTGAATTTGAACACCTGTGTCTATGCACACTTCTTTCTCAAATGCATTCCTAAGCAACTACCCCAGTCTCTCTGCCCTGTTATAATGTCACCTCAGCTGAATTATCTATCTCCAGTTCAACTTTCTCTTCAGCAGTTCAGACCTAACTTTTAACCTGCCTGACTCTTCTGTGGATGCTTCAAGCACGACATCTCATAAGCTAAACTGACCTCTCCCATTCATGGATATCTCCATTCAGGTTAGTGTAAACACCGTCTAACTACCCAGGAGTTACTGCATCTTAGGTTCCCTAGTATTTTCTATATCATATGTGCTTTTTATTAACTTCTTTCTGAGTAATTAAAATTTTCTCTACTCCCTACTATCACTCTTAACTTACTTGGTCTCTTATTTCTATTATCTAAGTCATTATATATTCACATCGGGGAAATTCCTAAGATCACATATGAGCTGAACTACCTTCAGTCTTTTTCACTGGAACCAAACTTCTGTTTCAGTCAGTTGGTTTCCATTTTTAAATCTTTTCCTATTTGCCTGCCTCTTCTGTCAAATACTACCTTTCACATTGCTCAAATATTATCTCATTTTTATTTGTATCCTTAGCAACAATTCTACCTGTAGTCTGTGAATGCCAGAAAAGGTTCTGTGAAGAAAGGGATTCAGAGTCAAATGCTCTTGGAAAGAATAAGTTTAATTTTGTTTAATAATAGGTTGGTTCATTAGCTTGTAAGTTATTTGAACATTTTGACTATGTGTAACTCAACTTTAGTCTCTCTCCTCTGTGTGTGACACAATGTTGAATTGCTTCCTGAATTTGATTTAGCATTTCTCCCATTTTCCTCTTCTGCCTATTTTATCAATAAGAGAATATGAGAAAATATCTCAATCATTTTTTAAAAATCTCATATTACATGAAAATAGTCACATAACCAGTATTCAAGATTCACCAAAGCAGCCCTTTCCCAATCTCCTCTTCTATGTTAGTATAGTAAAGCCATACTCCAACTCAGTGCTGGATAAAGCCCTAATTACATATAATATTATGACATATAAACCACTAACAAAAAGAAGTGAAGACCTAGATCAAAGACTTATCCTCTCACATCCCATATGGTGTCCATTTGCTTTCCCAGAGGGCTTTGTTTGGGGATAATTTTTAGTAAGACTTGACTTTAACGAATGAAAGTTTCAAGCTGGTGCCAGGAACAACAACAAAAAGATTCTGGACTCCAGAATAGTTTAAGAGGAAATGATCTTGCAATGGTCTTTCTGACAATGACCTAAACTCATTCCTCTAGATTGTGCCCTATGCCATGTCCCCTTTGGTCATTATCCACTCTCATCCCTTAAAGAAACCTCTTACTCCACTCCTCTGAAAGAAATTCTATTTTCGGTACACTCACAGAAAGAAAAAAAAAATCTTAAAATCAACACACTTAACAGAGCCATAAAGTAATATGATTGACTAAAAACCAAACAAACAACTAATATTCAAAATGTTTGTATAGCTGTGCATGCACTTCATATACAGACATGCACACAAACACATGCACGCACACACACATACACACACACACACACAGAGCTCTAGTGCTAACGCAATACTCTAATCTCCCATTTACATTCATACTTAAGCAATGATTCAAACTCCCTTCAATATTTTACTTTCATATTCTTTGAAATAAATGTATTTGATTACATCTGTATGTAACAGACTAAAACAAAGTCCCATCAGGCCGTCACATTTCTCCGTAGCACATAGAACATTTTCCTTAATCATTCATTATGAACTTCTTCCAGCAAAGGACATTTTGAAATAAGTAGGTACTGCCTCTGGTACAAGGAATAAGAGAAGGCTTGTCCCAGGAAGTAACATATGTAATAACTAAGTCAGTTAGTGTTTATATTGGCTAATAATAAAATTCAACTCCTAATACAAAAATGTATATCACTTTAATGATTATAAGACAGTTTTTCTTCAAAGAAAGGAAATGCCCTTGAGAAAATTCATTGTTGGGCTCTTTAGTCTAGATTAACAGGCATCTTAATATATGTCTTGCATTGCTCCTCATAGTAACAGTGAAAAGCAGAGGTTGCAGGACGGCGAGAACTGAAGAGGAGGGGAAGATGCGGTGGAGGCTCTAGACTCCCTCAGCAAGTCTGCTCTTACAGTCTGCTGTGGTGGAGGCCTTAGAGTGCTGCTCTTGGTTTTCATGTTGTTTTGTTCCGTTGGCTCTAGGTGGTAAAGAGTCAGCCTGGCAGCTGAGGTTGATGCTTTGGCTGAGAGATGGTGAACTGGTATCACATGAAATGTGGCAACATGAGCCCTGAACTAATTCAGTGCCTGCAGTAGTTGGAGCCGGAATCAACCGTGAAACCCTGAACCCCTGCATGAATCCCAAGAACACCACTAACTTCTCCTCGGAGTAGAAAGGGCTGAAGCCAATTTATCTTTATGTCATGGGAACATAAGACCCCATCTAGCTCCTTCTTACAGACATGGTGCCTCAAGAGCTTATACAGAAAGGTGCTTACCAATTTATTCACTTATAGCATGCAAATTTACTTTCATAAATGTGTTTACTAATGCAAGAATTTTAATGTCCCATTAACAGGACTCTAGATTCAAACAACCAAGTTTTAAATTTATACTAAATGGGTTATTATATATTAAAAGACAGATGTCAAGGTAAACATGAAAAAAGAAAAGGCCACAAATTCTCAGTCTATATGCTCAAACTCATATGTGTATTTGGTTTTGTGAAAATAGTTTGATTTGTCACTGAATCTTCAATTTCAATTCTGTTTTACTTTCTAACTACGTAGGGTGTCCCTGAACTTCAGTTATCTGGAATTGATTATAAAACAGAATGAGGGACTATCTCTGTCATTGAAGAGTTAAAAATCTGAGAGGATGAGAATTGAAGGTAAAAACAAAACAAAACAAAAACACACTGCATTGTGCTTTTTGGAGGATTTAAACATGTTATCCATTTGAGTGGATAGCAGTCCATGAGATGATCAGCAGGAAGAGTAGTATCAGCACATTCACTCAACAGATGGGATCACCAAGACCATCCCATGAAAAGAAAGGACCTTATATTGTATGTTCACAGAGCCAGTATGACAAAACATATTTCACACTATTTCATATTTTTTCCCAGAATACAACAATTATGATGTACCTATACAGAGAAAATCACAATCACCCTCTTGCAATAAGTATGGCCAAGGCAAACATAAGTATTCCAGTTTTTATAATATTCTTTGAGAAGATAGCAAAAGAGCAGGGGCACATTGTGGTTACACAAATATAATATATAAATGGTATCTATGAAATAGCTATACTGTTCATATAAGTGTCTAAAGAGGCATTACATTTCTTTTTTGTGCATTTTTTATTTTATTTTTATTTTTATTATTAGTTACATTTTATTCTCTGTATCCCAGCTATATCCCGCTCCCTCATTCCCTCCCAATCCCACCCTCCCTCACTCATCTCCTCCCTGCCCCTTTCCAAGTCCACTGCTTAGGGAGAACCTCCTCCCCTTTCATCTGACCCTGTTTTATCAGGTATCTTCAGGACTGGCTGCAAAGTCCTTCTCTGTGGCCTAGCAGGACTGCTCCTTCCTTGGGCAAGGGGTGGGGAGGTCAAAGAGCCTGCCATTGAGTTCCTGTCAAAAATAGTCCCTGTTCCCCTTACTAGGGAAAACCAATTGGTTACTGAGCTACCACGGGCTACATCTGAGCAGAGGTTTTAGGTTATATCCATGCATGGTCCTTGGTGGAGTGTCAGTCTCAGAAAAGACCCCAGGAGGCATTACATTTCTATTTGAATGTCAGTTTGCCTCTTAGCAGTTTTTAAGATACAATATCTCATAGAAGCACACAGCTTCGCCAACAGAGCTAAGATGTGACAAGGAACTACCTACCTTGCAGATCTCAAGGAACTTCTCACTGGTGTCTTTCATAGGGTGCTCAGTGAAGGTAGCATAGGGAACCTCGGTAGACCACGGGTTCCATCGAGACAGTAGAGACTGCCCCTCAGTGCTCCCCCAGCAAATCCTAAGGCCGTCTCCTGGTCTCCTAGAGGGAGGAGATTCTTATTAGATTTAACATTTCTGTTAGATAAATCAGCAAGAGAAATGTGGCAAAGGACTGTAACCCTCCAATTTCTACTGAGGTAAGTGGCTTACCTTAAACCAAACTGTTAAGGAATATAGGAGGAAAAAGAGTGGACTTGATTTCAAACAGCGTAGGTAACAAGGCTGTTAAGTATCCACAGGGAAATGTGAGCCTCATGCTAAGGACAGCAGCCAGAGCTGGCCTGATGATGAGGTTATGATGAAAACAAGTAAGTAGAGGTGCCAAACAATAGGACATAGACAAGCACATTAAAGATGGGAGACAAAGAAAGGAGATGATGAGAAGCCACTGTTTAAAGTATTAGTAGCATTTCATTTTATGTGCAGTCGTGTTTTCTGTGGATGTGTATCTGTGTAAGATACAGTCGTGTTTTCTGTGGATGTGTATCTGTGTAAGAGTGTTGCATCCTCTGGAACTGAAGTTACAGACAGTTGTGAGTTGTCATGTGGGTGCTGGGAATTGAACCTGGGCCCTCAGGAAGAACAACCAGTGCTCTTAACTTCTGAGCCATCTCTCCATCCCCGAGAAGGCATCATTTAAACAGAGCAGTAAACAGAAGGAAGAACTAACTAAGAAAGAACATACGATCTGTCAAATGATAGGACATCTATGACTTTTGAGAGACATGAGGACCATTCAAACTCCTCACCTTCCTAAGTCAACGACTCCTCTCTTGCATCTCCTGGTCCTCTGTTCCCTACACAAAGTCTACCTGATAGAGGTGCAGTGAGGGTCGAACCGATGTTTATGGACACCCTGCCTGTTTCTCCCCCTAAACTCAGCCCAGATTCCTAATGTGCAGAAAGAAGCCATTGTCTGATCTAACCTAGACCTGGTATCAGCTGAACCCAAATGCAAAGTAAGGGAAATTCAAAAGGGAGTATGAGGCAGGAAGTCATGGCAGAGGGGTGTGTCATTAGTGAAAAGAACTGTCACGTTTCTAGCATCTGCTTTTCAGTGTGTCCAACAGAATTCAGGGTTTATGATTTCAGCCAGCTCAGGATGCAGAGAGGTGCCTAGAGGTTAAGCCAAGCTCAGGGCTCTGCATTCAACAAGCCTTAGAACCAGGTTGGCTGTAATTCTAAGCAACTCCATGAAGCATCCTGAGCCCTCAGCTCATTTCTTCTAGAAATTCAATCCTGGGATTTTGAAATTGAGAAACCAGAGCTTAATTGTGGTGCCTTCAGAATGCTGTCACTTCCTGTATTAAGGAAGGATTCCGTTGGGAATATCATGTGGTTTCTGAATGTTTATTCACTTAGAGGTGAGTGTAAACAGTCTCACATATACACAGCCCCACCATCTTGCGGCTGATCCCAAGCTGTGTCTTAGGGAAAAAAAGAAAGGCACCTGGCACAGCCCACTGCCCAGTTCTTAGGTATTTCATGATTGTGTTTGAAAGCTGAAACTCAACATTTTTGTACTTAAGCCTTTGCCCCAAAAGTATAAGAGAAAAATTTAAAAAAAAAGAGGAAAATAAAAACAAGCAAGCCTCTGAAGTTCCCTTCTCAGATGTTGTACTGATTCTGGTCATACCCTTGTCTTTTTCCCATTTGGGGGGTATTTTTTTCTGTTCCAGCAATAAAAACAAACTTTATGAATACATGCTTGCTCGTTTGTGGAGCATTCTGGCTTGAGCCAATTAAAACAACTTTCACAATGCAATTATTTACTTCTTTGTATGTCAATTTATGCACCAAGTACTATTTTGTTTATCCAAAAGAGATGGAAAAAAAGTCTGTCAAGATAGCTTCCCAGAAAGTACACTTGTTTTTTTTTTTTTTTTTTATGCAAGGAAGCCTTGAATGAAAGTCAAGATATAATTCAAAAAGGATATTTTTGTTAAATATCTGACCATTTCAACCATGACAATGACCTTTCCCAGAGTTTTAGAATCTGTTATGGAATTGGGAAGAAATATAAAATTGAGTATCTACTCCAATGGCAGGATTTAAGGTAAGGCTTGTTAGGCCCTGGATCTGGCAGTGATGGGGAAGGAGTGTGATTAGTGTATACTGTACCAAATTCCCAAATAATTAATAAAAATATTATGTAGGGAAAAAAAGTCTTTGGTTGTCATCTCTTCTGTTAAACATCTTTGGGACAATTGTGGTGACTATACACACCTTTATAGCCAGGAATGTTTCACGCAGCAGTAACTTATGCTCATAGAGAAAATAATGCAAGTTTGGTTTTTTTTTTTTTTTTTTTTTTTTTTTTTTTTTTTTTTAAAAAAGGAGAATAAAGTGCAATGAGCAAAATGTCATTAGTGTGTCATGGACAAATCAATTTTCCTTTCTGAATCTCATTGTAAATTAGAATCTGATTTGTTTCTCTTTCTGAACCTTCTGAATATGTTGTACATTCGATAAAACTTCTGTGACCACCATGTCTTTTAGTCTTTTAGGGTTTGTGACATTTAGTTTAGTCAGTAACTAGGAGTAACATAGAAGCCATGGGCATGTCATAAATACTAGTTAGTTTATAACCAGCCGGAGCCACAGCCCTTAGGGCTCAGATGCTCTCCCCCAGCACCCTGTTTACCACCCATTCACAAACATACATGCATACAGATATACACATACAGAAATAATAAAATAAATCCTTTCTTAAAGGATAGATGAAAAATGTTTTGTATGTTTCATGGCATTATCCAATTGTCATATATTCAAAGCTTGACACATGTTTTATATTTTATTTAATCTAGACATCAGTGTGTTTGAGAAAACTTGAGAAGCACACACTAATTATAGGAAACAAGGAACAGACTTAATTAGGTTATCGAGTCAAGAACTGCTAGTGAAGAGAACAAATAGGAGGAAGAAATCTTCATCACACAGGCAGTCTCGAGGTGTTTTGTGTTTGTCAAAGCCACTGACCCATTTTGTCCACCTGACTGTGCCTCCAGAATACTTCCCATGTGCTCTGGCTGCTTTCTAAGTCATGGTGTAATGTGGTGATTCTCAGCCTTCCTAAGCTGCAATGCTTTAAAACAGTTCTTCATGTTGTGGTGACCCCAACTATAAGATGATTTCCATTTTGCACATTGTTATGAATCAGAATATATACATATATATATATGTGTGTGTGTGTGTGTGTGTGTGTGTGTATGCCTGGAAGAAGTGAAAGATTCTTGTTGAAACTTCTTTTCTTTCTGCTTTCTATCCTCTAGATTTCCATAGTTCTGGAAGTAAGAAAGCAGATGTGGTCTTTTTCTAGGTAAGCATTAAAGTCTCACAGAAACTGGCCAAAATATAGCAAAAGCTTCAAATGAGAGTAGGTCTCTCCAGGAGAGAGCTTGGTGGAAAGTTTGTGATAATAGATTTTAGGATAGTAGACATCTTAAGTTAGAAGGAAATTTCCAGGATGGCTTCCATCTCTCTCTCTCTCTCTCTCTCTCTCTCTCTCTCTCTCTCTCTCTGTCTCTCACACAAATACACATGCATGTTAAGAACTGGAATTTTCAAAGGCTTCAGTTCTTTTTATACCCATGTTAATTATCTGTTTTACTCAGTGACTCAGAATTCTAAAATACAGTCATTGGTAGGAGAGAGAGCCTAGACAATTACAAATTTCAGCCTCCGCAGCAAACTGGGTTTACCTTCTGAAGAAGTAAGTCTATAAGGAAGGAATTACTCAGATGAGCCCAGAGGACCCTGGGCATTGAGAAGTACGCTTTAAGCACAAAAAGTAACTCCAAGCTGAATGGCGAGAAACATCTCTTTAATCACAAGCTTTATAAGACAGGAGCTAGTCTTTTCAGGGAGGCCTCTTCTTCCTCTTTGTGAACTAGGAAACAGGCACGATCAGTGCCTTCTCTGGTTTAAATCTGTTCATTCCATGAGTTTTTCTTTCTTGGGGGAGAATCCATGAATTGCTTTGCATAGGACAAAACGCCGACTTCCCAAGTCCTGCTCTTCAACCTCTTGGCCTCCCAAGATTATCTGCTAAGGCGTGAGCTGAAGGCTGCTCCCCAGAGAAATGGCAGCTCCCATTATTACCTCGTCAGCTGCCCCTCCTTTCCACTCATCTCAGATCTCAAAAGCTGCGCCACAGAATTAAAAACATAGCTTGAGGCACTGAATGGAGATTTATGAGGAAGCACAGATATTAACTCTTACTCTAAACGCAGGGCGTGTGCTTGTAAGTACTGGTGAGCAAACACAAGGAGGCCACAGGAGGGGTGGGGGCAGGAGAGAGCAGTTCAGAACAGCACAGCTTATTTTCTTCCTGTCTCCTTTTTCCTACCTTACAGATTTCACTGCTGAAAGGCAGATCTTCTAGGCCCATGAAACGTTAGTCCCTTGCTTATTTAATCTGGACAAAAGCAGGGGCCGAATTGGCATCGTGGTGGGTATTCAAGTCTCCGCTGCTCATTGAATGACCTCAGATGAAATATTTTCCATTACAAGAACCCAAAAGACGCTGGCACGGAGTCAGACAACAAGATTTGCAGAATGTGTTTACATTCTCTCAGTGTCCCTAGGCTGTTCCAAGCCCATAGGCAGGTGCTGCCTTTATCTACTCTCTTTGCTCACCTGGCTCTCTCCCAGAAGTTTCCAGGGCCTTGGGCTCTGTGAGATTAACCATTTACTGGCAAGGGTAACCAGGAAAGTCTGTAGATTATGTTACTGGAGGGAGAGAAAGTGATGAAGGCAGAAAGACCACAGCCATCTGTCATAAGCAGTCTCGCAGGCGTTGTGGTTCCACAGAAAAGACCCCTCAGGGAACCCTGGATCTGACTGGATGACTTGAACCCTTAACTTCTCTCCAGGTGTCCATCCATAAAACCAGGCAAATGATGGTAAATTACCTCTTCAGTTTGGGATTCTGTTTTCTTTTTCCCTTCTAAAGCAGGATTTGTGCTGAAAGTCCAAATTTTGTATCTCAGTCGCCAAACAAAAAAATCAAACGAAAATGGGTCCTTCATGACTGACTGT